GATGAGTCTCTCAGTAAGTACAAAATGTAAATTTGAGAGGAATTGCTAAAATATGCTAGAGGTTTCTAAACTAGATACTGTCTCCAGGGGGAGAAATATTCTGAATGTCCTTGCATTTATCATATTCTAATGAATATTCAGTATACCTCAGTGGCCTAAAGAGTGAACAAAGTGTCTCAGTTATGTTGTAAAGAGGAAATGGAATAATACAGGCAGATTTGCTTCCTAAGACTTGATTTTATGTTGTCTTTCATTTAACCAACACAGCTATGTTTGAAAAAGGATATATTAAAGGTATATTATATATAAACAAGTCTCTCTATAAATTATAGTTTTATAAAACTATCTAATTATGCAGACATAATGTAACATATAGGATTCCCAAGAGCAAATGTGGAAAAAAAAAGAGATGAAAATTAAATCATGAGAGGCATAAAGTTTTTATTTGCATACAGACTCTGATACATGGCATCTTTGGGCAAAGATATGGAGGGGGAGCCAGATAAGTTATGCACTGCGCTAGTGTTGAGCTTTGCCTAAAACCATATTAAGATGAGGTGGCTATACAGCTCTTGGATTCAAGTTTGCTCTTATCTGTCCAGTTCAAAATACTGGTAGAGAATCTTGATAGCTTCTGAATTTTCATGTCAGTGTATCTGTCATAATATACCTAGCGCCCTGTAAAGAACTTTGTAACAAGAAAATTGTTCACTTCTCTGTTTAAAGACGTTGTGTCTCCTAAACCAGACATAGTCTCTTTCCAAAAGTAATTAGTGGACAAGTAGAACAGGATGGACTCCTTCCAGCTCCTGTTTTTCCTACTTCTTTATATAAGTTGAGCTTTGCAAAGGAAGCTGTGTCTGTCTATAAATCTACCATAACATCCGTGTACAGGCCAAACAAGAAGATGTGACAGTTCCTTGAAAATCTTTTGTTTCGTATGCATGTCAAGGCAAATAACAGCCTTTTAGTTGACTTTTCTTACGTGTAGTGTATTTTTTTCTTTATTTAAGATGAGTTTAACCTGAAAGAGACAGAAATTATACAGTATGACTCTGGTGACTAATCAAAAAGCAAACCCAAGTATACTTTTTGAAAAATCAATGTTAACAGACCTCAGCAATTAAAAATGAGCTTGCACTGAATGGATAACTTAATTATCAAAGACTTATATGGCCAGTTGTAATGTAGATGACTATTGGTAGTACTGCCACTAGGCTGATTTTCAAAAACTACATGCAAGGGAAATGTATGAAATTCAAGTAAGTACTGCAGACCTAATCTAGTCAGACTTTCAAATTGTGCCATATTCTTTCTTCTCTTTCGTATTATCTTTTTCTTTAGGCATCTATTTTATTCTGTGAACTTTGCTTCACCTTGTTCCTTGATAAAATGTAGCAATGAGAAACTGCTTTCCTCTGCCATTAGGAAAGGACTACTATTTGGATACTGACAGGAAGAAAGTTCTAATGAATGGTTGCTGAGAGTCCTTGTCCTTCTCTTTGCAAAGGGTTAGAAAATAGTCATGTCAGGCTGCCAGAAACTCTGTAACTCATCACAGATATTTTTTCAGTGTCCACTATGAAGGTATCTTTAAGGTTAGATTTTTCTCAAATGAAAGGAAATAGTACAGTTTCTCTTGCAGACATTAGGAAACTAAGACACAGTGGTTTGCAGACACAAGATTAGAGTCAGAATTAATCTCTCCTCGAGGGCAAGTTAGCACTAAATTCTGGTAATTCTTACAATTCAAAATAGAATTCCAGTACTTAAATTTCAAATTGGAATAATTTTTGTAGAAAGACACTCTGGGTAGAACTCCCAGCAGTGCCGTGTGACGGCACTCAAGATGATCTGCTCCATAACCTTCCCCAGCACTGAGGTCAGACTGACAGGCCTGTAGTTCCCTGGATCCTACTTCCAGCTCTTCTTGTAAATGGGCATCACATTTGCTAACTTCCAGTCACCTAGGACCTTCACAGTTCACCAGGACTGCTGATAAAGGATGGAAAGTGGTTTAGTGAGCACTTCTGCCAGCTTCCTCCATACCATTGGGTGGATCCCATCCAGCCCCAGAGACGTGTGTGTCTAAGTGGTGTAGCAGGTCGCTAATAATTTCTGCTTGGATAATGGGGGCTTCATTCCGCTCCCTGTCCTTGTCTTTCAGCTTAAGGTGTTGGGTGCCCTGAGAACAACTGGTCTTACTATTAAAGACTGAGGCAAAGAAAGCATTAAGTACCTCATTATTTTCCTCATCCTTTGTCACTATGTTTTCCCCCTCATCCAATAAAGGATGGAAATTCTCTTTAGCCCTCCTTTTGTTGCTAATGCATTTATAGAAACCTTTTTTGTTGTCTTTTACAGCAGTAGCCAAATTAAGTTCTAGCTGGGTTTTTTTCTAATTTTCTCCCTGCATAACCTCACAACATCCTTGTAGTCCTGAGTTTCCTGCCCTTTCTTCCAAACGTCATAAACTCTCCATTTTTTCCTGAGTTCCAGCCAAAGTTCTCTGTTCAGCCAGGCCAGCCTTCTTCCCCACAGGCTCATTGTCCTGTTTTTGGCTGGGATAGAGTTAATTTTCTTCCTACTAGCTCCCATAGTGCAGTTTCATAGTGCTGTGTTTTGGATTTAGGATGAGAAGAATGTTGATAACACACTGATGGTTTAGTTGCTGCTGAGCAGTGCTTACACCAGTCAAGGACTTTCTCAGCTTCCCCTGCTCTTCCAGGTGCACAAGAATCTGGGAGGAGGCACAGCCAGAACAGCTGACCCCAACTGGCCAAAGGGGTATTCAACACCATATGACATCATGCTCAATATATAAACTGGGGGGAGCTGTCTGGGGGGCAGCTATCCCTGCTCAGGGGCAGGGTGGGCATCGGTCAGCAGCTGGTGAGCTATTGTATTGTGAATAATTTGTTTTGTATATTATTATTTATTATTATTATTATTATCATGGAATCATAGAATTCTTTAGGTTGGAAAAGAGGTTTAAGATCATCAAGTCCAACTGTTAACCTAACATTGCCTTCCCACTACTAAACCATGTCTCTAAGCACCTCTTCTACCCATCTTTTAAATACCTCCAGGGGTGGGGACTCCACCACTTCCCTGGGCAGCCCATTCCAGAGCCTGACAACCCTTTCCGTGAAGAAATTTTTCCTAATGTCTAACCTAAACCTCCCCTGGTGCAACTTCAGGCCATTTCCGCTCATCCTAGTGTCTGTTGCCAGGGAGAAGAGGCTGACCCCCACCTCACTACAGCCTTCTTTCAGATAGTTGTAGAGGGTGATAAGGTCTCACCTCAGCCTGCTCTTCTCCAGACTAAACAGCCCCAGTTCCCTCAGCCACTCCTCATCAGACTTGTGCTCCAGACCCCTCACCAGCTTGGTTGTTCTCCTCTGGACAAGTTCCAGCAACGCAACATCTTTCTTGTAGTGAGGGGCCCAAAACTGAACACAGTATTCGAGGTGTGGCCTCACCAGCACCAAGTACAGGGGAACGATCACTTCCCTACTCCTGCTGGTCACACTATTCCTGATACAAGCCAGGATGCCATTGGCCTTCTTGGCCACCTGGGCACACTGCTGGCTCACATTCAGCCGACTGTCAACCAGTACCCCCAGGTCCCTCTCTGCCAGGCAGCTTTCCAGCCACTCTTCCCCAAGCCTGTAGCACTGCATGGGGTTGTTGTGATGCAAGTGCAGGCCCCGGCCTCGGTCCATCGATCCAGCCTGTCCAGGTCCTTCTGCAGAGCCCTCCTCCCCTTGAGCAGATCAACACTCCCACCCAATTTGGTGTCATCTGCAAAATTACTGAGGTCATTGATAAAGATATTAAACAAGACTGGCCCTAGAACTGAGCCCTGGGGGACACTGCTTGTGACTGGCCACCAACTGGATGGTCATCATCATCATCATCTTCCTCTGCTGTTTTATTAAACTGTCCTTATCTCAAACCATGGGGTTTACTTTTTATTTTCTGATTCTCTCCCTCATCCCACTGGGGGTGGGGAGAGTGAGTGAGCAGCTTAGTTTCCAGATGGTGTTAAACCACAAGTCTTCTTTTTTGACCATGGGGATGGCCTGCTCCTGTGCCTTTAAGATTTATTTCTTGATGCAAGTCCAGCTTTCCTAGACTCCTTTGCTCTTTAGGACTGTCTCCAAAGGAACTCTGTCAATCAGGCCCTGACATAGGGGGAAGAAAGAAAATAGGAGAGGAAAAGGAGAGGAAAAGGAAAGGAAAAGGAGAGGAAAGGAGAGGAAAGGAAAGGAAAAGGAAAGGGAAAGGAAAGGAAAGGAAAGGAAAGGAAAGGAAAGGAAAGGAAAGGAAAGGAAAGGAAAGGAAAGGAAAGGAAAGGAAAGGAAAGGAAAGGAAAGGAAAGAAAAGAAAAAAAAGGAAAAGGAAAGGAAAGGAAAGGAAAGGAAAGGAAAGGAAAGGAAAGGAAAGGAAAGGAAAGGAAAGGAAAGGAAAGGAAAGGAAAGGAAAGGAAAGGAAAGAAAAGAAAAGAAAAGAAAAGAAAAGAAAAGAAAAGAAAAGAAAAGAAAAGAAAAGAAAAGAAAAGAAAAGAAAAGAGAGCAGAAAAGAGGGGAAGAAAAAAAAGGAAGAGGAAAGGGAGAAGAAAATTAAATGGAGAAGAAAGGAGAGAGGAGGGAGAGTTGATCTGTGATGGGTCTCTAGTGCCTGTGACAGCACAGGATATGGTTGACAGTGGGGCTGTCACCAGGAAGACCAGCATGCAGGGCTGCTGCAGTGTAGCCTGGGTCAGCGGTGAGAGCCAATGTGCACACAGTGGAGAAGCTGAACTGGACAAAGGCTGAGGCAGAAATGTCAGCTCATGGGGGGCTTCTCACCAAAGAAAGGAGCCGTAAACCAGGAAGCAGTTTCAAGCAGTTCAGCCACGGAAGTCAAGAGGAGGAGAAAGAAGAGGTAGAAGAAGAAGGCAACAACTCTTGTTATGCATGTGATCTGGACAAAATTTTGGCCACTGTTCTACATGGATGACGTGCAAGTTGGTGGAGGATCTGGTAGATGACCTTCTTAGTGCCTGCCAAAGATTTTCCGGGAGTAACTTCAAGCCATGGCTCCAGCCAACCGTTGGGATGGGCTGTGTCTACAAAGGTGGGAGTGCCTGGGGGGACAAAGTCCTCCACCACCTGCTTGTGCCCCTGTAGCCTCCTACTGGACATGCCTTCTGCTTGGAGCTGGACACTGCACAGGAGATGCTGACCAACAACTCCTGCCTCCATGTACAGCTACAGTGCATGTGCATGAGGGAGCAGCTGGTGGAGGACATACCATTCTTCCTCCACCACCAGAATGATGAGCTGAAAAGTCAAGACCCCGGTCTCCTCAACACCTTTTGCGCCAACTCTTACTTAGACATCTGAAAACCTGCCTTCTGGTTCCAGATATTGGTGAAAGACACCTGGAAGGTTATGCCTCAGTCACAGTCAAACCACTGCTGGACAGTGTTGCCTACAACATGCTCCTGCAAGCTCAGGCTAATGAACACCTCCCAGGAAACCCTGTCCATTGAGATGACTTTTGGGGTGAAGCTAGATGACCCAGACTTCTTCCTGAGCCTTGAAAAGGCAGAGGCCAGTTTTGCCACTAGCACAGTGTGATGTGGCTGAGATGCACTTAATCTGGCATGGTCAGCACAACATCTTCCACCCCAGAAGTGAGAACTTGCTATAACAAAAATGAATATATGAATACCTAAAAAGCAAATCTTGTGCATAGTAGCTGAAATTAAAAAAAGTAAAATAAAGTTATCCTAATTTTTTAAAAAAGAACAACTATCTTCCTTGATTCAGTTTCTAAAAGGAAAATTACTCTTTACTTCTATTGTAATACATTAACCAAATCTAAACATTAATTAAATATTTTGAATTAATTTCCCTATTAATATATACTTTAAGTAATTCTGTATGCCAGTTTGCTCTAAATATTGAGTTTCCTGTAAATATTCTAAGTAAGTCTCTGGGAAATTTCTTTAGAATAAATTGACTCTAATATGAATGGTGACACAATCTTAACTTTACACATTCATATCTTATGTGAGGCAAAGATAACACTGAAGAAAAAACTGTTAATTACTCATTAAGTTTATATATCAGATAGTAGAAGAATCTTTCTTAGTTAAGCTCCCTTCCTTAACACACTCACTTTAGTAATTTACACAACAACAAACTGAAAAATTATCATATTTAAAGGTCAACTTACTTTAAAAAAACAATTTCACCCTTAAATTTACCAAACACCTGAGATAATACGTATTTTAAATAATGTTCTGAGAGCTGTATGATTTTGTTGTTGTTTGTTGTGGTTTAACCTGGCTGGCAACTAAGCACCACGCAGCCGCTCGCTCACTCCCCCCACTCCCTCTGTGGGATGGGGGAGAGAATCGGAGAAAAGAAAAAAGGTAAGAGCCATGGGTTGAGATAGAGACAGTTTAATAAGAGAGAAGAATAACAATAGTGATAATAATAATGGTAAGAGAATATACAGAATATATATAAAACAAGTGATGCACAAGGCAATTGCTCACCACCCGCTGACCGATGCCCAGCCCGTCCCGAGCAGCGATCACTCCCCCTGAGCCGCGATCACACAGCCCGAGCTGCTATCACTCTGCCCGCGACCGACCGACCAACTAACCCCCCCGAGCATGACGTTATATGGTATGGAATAGCTCTTTGGTCTGTTTGGGTTAGCTGTCCTGGCTGTGCTGTACTCCCAGCTTGTTATGCACCTGGCCGAGCAGGAGAAGCTCAAAAAGTCCTTGAGTAGTCTGAGCACTACTTGGCAACAACTAAAAACATCAGAGTATTATCAACATTCTTCTGGTACTAAATCCAAAACAGCACTATGCTAGCTACTATGAAGAAAATTAACTCTATCCCAGCCGAAACCAAGACATTGTTTTAGAAGAACATAATTGTTGAACATATGGTAAACTGCAAAACCCCCTTAAAATATCATGCATTTCCAATGGTATAGTCTAAAACTGCAGAAAAAAAATATTAAGTTATATGGCTGTCACACTTGTGACTAGGGAACCACAGGATTCACTTAAGTCTCCACAGGGACAGGCAGAGCATCTTGTTTATGAATTATGCATTTTTACCTATTTGCTTTTATTTGAAACATTAAAATGTATTCTGACAATGTCATATATGTAAAAAAAAACATATATGTATGCAAAATCACATTTATACTTTTTAATTATGATTCAGAAAAAAAACTTTTTGGTACTTATTAAGGGAATCAAAACTTATCCAATTGTTTTTTGGTTTTGCTTTTTTTTTTTTTTTTTCTGCTAAGACTATTTTTTCAACCTGATGGTTTAATTCCCACTGGATGTGTTCTGATTCTTCAGATAACTAGTGAAAGACTCTCACTCTCCCTATCTTTCTACTATGATGTTATTTCACTGAAACCCTTTGTAAAGCTGAATTGAATTTAGATGACTCTTCACTTAGGTCCTGATCCAAAACCCATCAAAGTCAATGACTTTCTTTGGGAATAAAGTTCCAAAGATAGTTTTTAAATACCTTTGAGGTAATGATAACCTGAATATATATCTCAAAGTAGTTCTATATTCTGGGACTGCTTCTGAATTCAAACTTAACGTAATATGAAGGCTGAGAAATCTCTAGGCTTCAGGAAGGTTCACAGGCTATGCTTACTTAGAAGTTGGGAACCACAGGCTATAAGAAGCTTTGGGAGCAAAACAGCTAGGCGTTCTTACAGTGATTCATGTTCTTGTGTTTCAAGTTGTTTTATGATTATTCTTTGCAATGACTTATGCATTTCATGATAATGAGGCAGAGACACTGCACAACATGAGACAAGACCATGTGAGACTGTTGAAACACCTGAAGAGTTAGGGAGGAGTGCCTAAATTTCTTTGTGGGTCTCGTGTAGTATCTTGCTCAGACCAATTGTATAAGGACTGAGTTACATTTAATTTTGAGATGGGACTGTTTATCTCCAAGGAATATAAGAAGTAAATTACTGATCCTGGACTTCAGGCAAGCAGACTTCAGCTTATTCAGAGAATTGGGATCCCAGGGGAGGAAGGTCTGAAAGTGTTAGTGGTCTGTACTGGGGAATGCTCTTTTCAACATCTTTATCAACAAACCAGAAAAGCGAATAGAGGCCTTGTGCATAAAGTTTGCAGATAACACTAATAGGGGTACCAGCTGATATGCTGGAGCAGTCCCTGGTGCCTATAGGGAGGTCACCAAGGAGACAAAGCAAGGCTCTTCACAGTGGTGTATGGTGGCAGGACCAGTGACAATGAGCATAAATTGAAACAAGAGAGGTTCAGACTAGTTATAAGGAGAAACCCTTACCTCATAAGGATAGTCAGGCAGGGAAGCAGGTTGCCCTGAGAAGTTGTGCAGGCTCCATTCTTGGAGGTTTCCAAAATTTGACTACCTCAAGCCCTGGCCAACCTTCTCAGAGCAGGAGGTTGGAGAAAAACCTCCCCATCTCTCTTCCAGCATGAATCATCTTGTGATTTTATGGTCATTTCCTGGCTTCTTTAAGTTAGCAGAATCAAATTTTGGTTTTGATAAGATTAATTTTCTGAAATTATTCAGGGGCAGTTTTCTTTGGAACATTTAGGAGCTTAGACCTCAATTCAGGTAGTCTATGTCAGGAACTGAGACTGTAGTATGATTCAATGTTTCTTTCAGTCTAGGAAGTATCTAAGAAAAACAAAATGCACTAGTAGGTGTTTTAAAATTATGACATGTGGTAGGTCTGCCTTCTAACTTCATTTGATCTTTCATGTTTTACGATGGAAAAAAAGAGGAAACAGGTTCTTTTACATAAAGAAATTGCACCTCTGAATCACTTACCTTAGAAGTTCAAGACAAGACCTGAGGCTCAGCTTACAGGTTTGATACTCCACTTCTCACATCTAGAGTGCTAGAGAGACAAAATGATGATTCTATTATTTTCCACTCCTTCACTTTCCTAGCTTCTGGGGAAGGTATGCATTTTCTCTGTAGGGATCACTGACATCTACAAATAAATGAAGAACACGGCAGTAAGAAACTAAGATTCAGGATTCCCTTTACATGAATTCTGTTCATCAGGCAGTTGGATACCCTGATGACTATCTTCTTTGTCTTTTTATGTCCTAATAGCTAAGTGTTGCATGGATTATTGGAGGTGTGGCTGAACTCCCATTCATAGAATCATAGAATCATAGAATGTTTTGGGTTAGAAGGGACCCCTAGAGGTCATCTAGTCCAACCTCCCTGCAGTGAGCAGGGACACCGCTAACTAGATCAGGTTGCTCAGACCCCATCCAACCTGGCCTTGAATGTTTCCAGGGATGAGGCCTCCACTACCTCTCTGGGTGACCCATTCCTGTGTTTTGCCACCCTCATTGTAAAGAATTTCTGCCTTATGTCTAGTCTAAACCTACCCTGGTTTAGTTTAAAACCATTACCCCTTGTCCTGTCACAGCTGGCCCTACTAAAAAGATTTTCCCTGTCTTTCCTATAGGCCCCCTTTAAGTACTGAAAGGCCGTAATCAGGTCTCCCCACAGCCTTCTCTTCTCCAGGCTGAACAAGCCCGACTCCCTCAGCCTGTCCTCATAGGAGAGGTGCTCTAGCCCTCGCATCATTTTTGTAGCCCTCCTCTGGACCTGCTCCAACAATTCCATGTCCTTCTTCTGCTGAGGGCTCCAGAGCTGGACGCAGTACTCCAGGTGAGGTCTCAGCAGAGCAGAGTAGAGGGGCAGAATCACCTCCCTCGACCTGCTGGCCATGCTTCTCTTGATGCAGCCCAGAGTACGGTTGGCCTTCTGGGCTACCAGTGCACATTGCCGGCTCATGTCTGTGGCGGTGTGCTCCCCCCTCACCTCTGACTCCCCCTCCTTTGACCTCTTTCAAGTGATAATCATCTGTGGCCGTGGTGATAGATGCATCTGGTCTGTGTCTGGTCCTGAAGGGCCAGGCTCTCCCCAGGCACAGGGACGCCTCTCAAGGTTACTGCTCGAGGTTGAGAGATTCCTTATCACAGCAGACTCTCGGTAAGTGACTAACAGCATGCTAACTTTGAAATCTTAGCTAAGTGACATAAAGGATTGATTGTGCATATATAATCCTTTAGACATAAACCGTTGACCAAGTCTGGGACTAGGATTGGATCCAGCCGCACCTAGACTCCTCTCTGAGGGAGTTTAGAAAGCAAGGGGATCTTTTCTGAACCTCATGACACAACGGGAGGGTCTCCCTGACAGTCTTGTCTGACCCTGTCCTCTGTGCAGTAAATAACAAAGTGTACCTTGCCATCGAATCTTATAAACTATTGTTGCATTTACCACTGAACTTTGTTAACTCACAGTTTTACACCAATAAACCACATTATTTTTGCCTCCCTCTCACTCCATCCGCGACACCATGTCAAAGGCTTTGCAGAAGTCTAGACAGATGATGTCCGTTGGTTTTCCATTGTCCACTGTTGTTGTCACACCATCATAGAAAGCCACTAGGTTTGTCAGGCAGGACTTGCCCTTGGTGAAGCCATGCTGGCTATCTCAAATCTATTCATGATGAGGGGTTTTCTACTTCCTAGACTTGTGTACCAAACTGTCATGTT